TTTATATCATCTCTCAATAATGGTACTGTTAAAACAATTGGAATAACTTTTGTAATAATGGCATCTGACAATAATTTTTGTGATTTCCACATGACAACACTGTATGATTCATTGATTAATTATGAATTATTCTTTGTAAAACATCAGGCTGTGGCAAATGTGGTTTTGTCCTGTCAAAAGACAAATGGAACTAATTTATTTGAGGAGAGAGCTGACATTTCACATTTATACTTTCAAAAGTTGGTATTCTATATGATTGTAATGAAGAGTTGCTCACCCATGTCCTTATCATTGATTCAAAGTCAATGGTCATCTGTAGGATTTTTTATTCAGTCATTTACAGAAAAGTCCAGTTGTTTAAACGAAACTCAACCTTCTATATTTGGAAATGTACTAATTGACAGCTCCCACATTTCAAATTCTGTAATATTTTTCAAATACTCTAATCTGATTAGGTTGAATTATGTTTCCATCATGGAGATTGTGCATTGTCTTTTAGTTTCTCTGAAAAATTACTCGCCACAAATATCCTATTCGATTCCACAGGAATGTTCTTCACTGAGAGAGTGAAACAACTACATTTCTCCAATTACCAAAGTATTGGTAGGACCTCAAGAACATACTTGACAGCATTTGGTAGAATTGTGATGAAAAACTCCATTTTCAGAGATTATGTCTATAACTTTCCATCACTCATTATTGAGAATGGAAATGTTGCTCAATTGAGTGAAATAGTTGCTTTATCCAATACTATTTGGGCTTCTTTTAGATATATTGATAATTTTTCTTTAAAGAATGTCAAAGTGACTGGAAATCAAATTGTGAATGTCAAAATGACATCTGATAGTCCAATAACAATTACTAATTGCAATCAGATTACAATTGCTGACTCTTTCTTCAACAAGAACGTTGGATACATTGGAGGGAGTATCCTAATTAATGAATATATCAATATTGACCTGTTTAACAACACCTTTACAAATTGTAAATCTTTTAAAAAAGGAGGAGCCCTCAATATTGAAAACTATCAACAATCATCACTCATTACTCAAAGTACTATCAATATCATGAGCAATACCTTTGAAAATAATTGGAGCTCAACTGTTGGAGGTGCCATTTCAATTTTAACAGCCAATCAACTCTATGTGAAAAATAACATTTTCAAAAGAAATGCTGCAAACTCTGCAGGTGGAGCATTTGCCATCACGACACATGTCATTAAAGGAGAGTTGGAATCGTACTTTGAAGATAACAGTGTCACTGGCTCATTTCATTCCTTGAATAATTCACAATACTCCTCTGATTCGAATCTTTATTTGATGGGAGCTGGTGGAGCTTGTTTGATTCTAAATATGCCGCAGTTTAGTTTTGTCATATCTAGATCTGTATTTGTGGGAAATGAGGCTGAGAAAGGAGGAGCTGTTGCATGTGGAGCTGACTCGTTGAAAACATCTAAACAGTTAGTTCAAGAATGCAAATTTAGTGAAAATAGAGCTTCCAAAATAGGAAATGCTATTTATTTTATTAGACCACAAAGTGTAAACGTAATTGATCAGGAAGTGAGTGGAGATCAAGAGTTATTCTCCTCAACTCCTACAGTTTTTGAAATTTTAGAAATGCAACCAAATATAGTATTCCCTGGACAATCAATTTCCTTAACAGTATATTTGGAGAATGTTTTTGGAAATGTTGTGAATGTCACTACTCAAAATATAATGTTCAGTGCTCAGGATGTTTTTGAAACTTTCCTTAGATATTCACCAAACAGTAATTCCTCATTATTATTTACTCCCTATGCCAAAACAAGTAATGTCAAAGATTCTGTTCAGAATTTAACACTTTACTCTGAAGATGGTCGATTGAGTAGAGTTTTATCCTTCACACTAACTGATTGTCCTTCGGGGTTTATCATGGAAAAGACAGTTTTCAACTCATTGTTGGTATACGAATGTAAAATTGACACTCGACTGAATGTCAAGTTACTAATTGGTCTCATTGTTCCTCTTGGACTCATTGTCTTGGTGATTGGTATCATAATCGGCTTGCTGACCTTCTTAATTATCAGATTTGTCTTTGCACAATTGAAAATGTTAAGAGAAAAACAAAAAGCAGAAAAAAGTTTGGAAATGCGAATAATTGACAAGAAGGTCATTTTCAATTCTTTTGAAAATACATCACATAATGATTTATCAATTCCATTAATTGATGATTCAGCTGAAAAGGAAAAGAAACCATCTTTTATTATTCCAATAGAAAGTATTGAAATTATTCGAAAGCTGGCTGAAGGTGGTTTGGGAATTATTTATCTTGGTAAATTGTGGAAGAAAATTAACATTGCCATCAAATTATTGAAATCAGACGAGCAAGATGATGAATTTGAACAGGAAGTTTCACTTCTGAGCTCTTTAAGACATGACAATATTGTGACATTTTATGGAATTTGTGTCACTGATCAAGGAAAGTACATGATAACAGAGTTTGTGGAGAAGGGATCGCTCGATAGGACTCTATACAAGGCAAGAATAGGTGAAATTGATTTGTCTCTCCATCAAAAGATTTCCATTCTCATAGCTACAGCCAAGGGAATCGAATATCTTCATTCATTAACCCCAGTAGTTGTGCATCGTGATTTGGTAAGTTTCTTAATTACAGTGGAATAATTAGTAATTGTCAACAGAAACCTGGAAATATCCTACTAGACGATAAGAATATTGCCAAGATTTGTGATTTTGGCTTGTCAAGAGTTGTGTCAACCACAACAATGCAAAGTGTCATGACTACCAATTTGGGAACTTTATTCTATTGTCCAAGGTATGTTGTTTTTTGTTAACATTTGTTGACATTTTTGAAAGTGAGGTGATTGAGGGACCAACTGAAACAAATTTGGCCTCTAAACAAACAGCTACAAAGATAGATGTCTATAGTTTTGCAATTATCATGTGGGAAGTTTTTTTCGAGCTGGTTCCTTACTCTACAAATGTCGAAAAATTGATTCCACAATTTGAAATTTCCAAGCAAGAGGAAGAAGCTCTCAAAATTAATGGTTTCAACATTCCATATTATGTAGTGAAGGGTGTGAGACCATTTATTCCTTTCAAAACTGATGAGCAAATACGAAAGTGGCTGGAACTCTACATGCCAAACGAATTGAAAAATTCAGAAATTATTCTAATTGTTAAGACTTATTTCACAATAATGAAACAAGCATGGTCTCACAATGCCACAAAAAGACCTACCATCGATTCAGTTCGATCAGAATTGGAACAATTGGAAGAATTGTTAAGAATCTAATTTCAGAAAATTATTAAATTAATGTAAATTCAGACAATGGAGGGAATATTTAACTTGGTTGCCTTTTATAAAAAGCGAGCCTCTCTTGAAATAAACTCTCCTCTGAAATATCAGAATTATTCAGATCAAAAACATTCATTTTGTCCATTCCACATTGTTTGAAATACACTCGAAATTCCACTTCCAATTTTTCTTACTAGATTATTCATACCAATCTGATCGAGTGAAATATAGAGTGATTCATCGACATGGCTTACAGAAGGATCTGTCAATTTGGTTGAGTCAATTTCTAATAGTTTTTCACTCAATCCCTCAAAATATCATTCCACTCGAACAGTGGTTGGAGAAGGGTTTTTCAATATTATGGTGGATAATTTCCATATTAGATGAATTGAGGTCTATGTTTTATAATTTCATTTCAAAAGGAGAGGTTGTTGGATAGGCTACTCCAATATTATTAGGAGTGGTTCTCGAGTTGTATAATAAAATATTCATTTCTTCCCTGCTTGAGAGAAGAAGTGACTTGATTTCTTCCAGCTCTTGCCTGATAAAGCCAGATTGTCTTTGGTGTTCCTCATTTATGTGTGCAGAGGCTGTTGCAGCAGAACCTTTGTATTTGGAGGAGAACGTCTCTTTGAATCGCTGGTATTTTTGATTGGATTGATAATTTTTTTCATCAAGATATCTAGTATCAGGAATGTAAGGTTTAAAGTTGATTTTTTCCTTGATGCTTGGCCTTTCAGTTTCGGTTGACTTTGCGATGAACAATGGTTTGGAAGATGCCTCTGTTTGTGTTTTTGATGAATAACTGGTAGTAGAGTTGGAGGAAGTTGGGGGTGTTCTTGAAATATTGGATGGTGGTGGAATGTTTGATCTTGGAAATGATGAAAAGGAAGAAAGAGGTCGTTGAGGAAAAGCTTGAGCATATGGATTTCTAAAGTACGCAAGAGGTGGTGGATAATAAGGAACAAAGTTGGGAGAGTAAAAGTTACAATTACAATGATCACAACACAAGTTGCTGTGAGCTTGTGGAGGAATATTTCCATTATTGGTGCCCTGATAATTGGTGTTGAAAACTTGGGAATGGTAAGCTGTTTGAGTTGCATATGTTCTCGAATCTTTTGTGAGATCATCAGTCCCAATAGATATACTCTGGACATCCTTTGGCAGAGGAGGTTTTTCTCTCTCAATAGTAATTATTCTATTCGATTCCCTATTATCTTTGGAAGGAAGATCCAATTCAGTTTCGTGAACAATTTCTATTTTTCTTTCTGTTCTAATTGGAATCTCGATAACTCTTTCCATATTTCGTTCAACTATTGGTTCCGATATCATCTGCTCTGCTTTCTTAATGATAGGTTTTGGCTCTTTTTCAGGAATTATTGTCTCTTTCGAGATCTCTTTTTGTTTAGGCAATGGCTCTTCCTCAACTTGTTTTGAGCTTGTTGTTGGAGATGGTGTTCTTGAAGCAGGTATAACAGTCTCTGCGTTTTGTGGCTTTTGCAAAGATACGACTTTAACTGGTTCCTTTTCCACTTGCTTTTGAACTGCAACTTGTTCTGATTTCTTCGGTTCTGGCTTTTTAATTGGTTTTTCTGGTTCAGGTTTCTTAATAGGCTCTGCGGCTGGTTTTGGTTTTGAGGTAGTTGGAATGGTTATTGGTTTTTGTGGTTCCTTCTTTGGAGGAGGCTTCACCTCCTCTTCTTCATCATCAAAGTCATCGAAACTGTCATTGCTGTTATCTAAAAAGTTATCTTCAAACGATTCATTATCATCAAAATCACTGAATTCATCCTCGTCCTTCTTGTGTGTATGGGAGGGTTTGTGGTGATGATCCTCATCGTCCTCAATCTCCTCTTCAAAATCATCAAATGAACTTTCCTGTGTAGAGTTGTGACCATTATCGTTTTCTTCAATTATTTCCTCATCTCCAAAATCTGAAAAGTCATCCTCACTAAAATTTTCTTCCTCACTCATTACAAAATCCTCTTGAACAACTCGAGCAGGTTCTCTGTAGAGTGGTTTTGGTTTTACTGGCTCTGGTTTTTTAATTGGTTGTTGAGCTACAGCTGGTGACTTAGCATGTGTGCCAACGGGATTTGGAGAGGGTGTCTTCTTGGGCTGTTCTTTGACTGGTGGTTGCTTTTTCACCACAACTACAGAAGGGGAAGGATCTTCTCCTCCCTCCTCATCTGAAAAATCAGAAAACTCATCAAGTGTCTTTACATTAAACGAATCATTCTCACTGGATGAAGCATACTCGGTCTCTATAACTTGTTTCTTATTTACATTTGTTGGCTTAGTGTTTTTTTGATGATTATTATTTGAAATTGTCGGTTTGTTAGTAACAACTGGTTTCGGAAGTTCGTCCTCATCCTCATCATAATTTAATTTTACAGATTTTTGTGATCGTTGAGAGCTAGAAAGAGTTGGTGAAGGATTGGTTGGAGTAGGTGTTCGTGAAGCAATTCCAAACATTGAATTTACTTTCTGAAACATGTTTCCGAAGTTTGATGTTGAAGAGCCGTGAGAGGCATGCGATCCATTCGAAGACGAAGAATGTGATCGTCTCATCATTGCATACGGATCATTTCCAATAATCGAACCAGATGAGTAGGCATCAAATGAGGCTGCAACTGGTTGAGGCTTTTTTTTCATTTTTTTTTGGCGCCAAACACCTTACATTTCGATAACTTTTATAACTGTTTTATTGAGAGGGAAATTATTTCTTATGTTTTCCAATGGAAAATACAGTGATAGATACAATAACAATGAGACATCCAATAATACTGACCAAGTTATCAATCCACTCACCAAGTATAACACTTGACAATAAGAGACCAATAACAATACGAATTGGAAATAGAATTCCATAACTGCCTCCACCAATTTCCTTTGCACAAATGACCTCACCTACTGCAGCAACCAATCGATTCATTACAATGAACCAAACAAAAAATACCCATCTGACCCAATCCCAATTTGCAAAAATATTCCAATCCTCCAAAATAAACATTGGGATAATTGGCCATAAAACCAAAAGATACTTTTGAATATAGAAAAGATCTTCTGGTGAAACTTCTGGAGGGACATACTCTTCCTGTTTGGCAGTAGTTGCTTCTGAACCTTGAAGGAGAGGTGTCTCAATGGAACCGTGTTCATATGATTCGTTTGAATGATTTGAGATATTGTCTCTATCATCGATTGGTTGAGTTTCTGGTTCCTCTTCATTATCGAAAATTCCACTATTAAGGGCAGCACTGGATTGAGTTTCAGCAATCATAATATGCTCACGTGCATTTGATTCTTCAGGTGAAACAAATTGTCTTTCATCATTTTCATCGCCCTCCTTTTTCTCATTTGATAATCTGGTTGGGGACAATCTATTAACAGTATTCATCTTCATAGAGAAGAAGAAACTAGAAATAAGGGCAATAATCATTCCGATAAAATCATTTGGCCAATTGAATCCAGAACCAATCTTTGACAAGTCTGGAAACCATTTCCAACTATATTGAATTGGATTTCCATTTTCATCCTCAGTTGCTCTTGTTGTTGAAGCCAAAATAATAATTACAGCACCAGTTACAGTAAAAATACAAGATATTAAATCTAACCAAGAGAATTTCTCAGTCTGATATTGCATGTGTAAGAATTAACAAATTGCATGACAAATTCAAAAACATACCTTGAATATAAAAATACCCATAAAATAGATAATGAAAGGAGAACTCAACAAAATCAATTGGGTATAAGTAGATGTGGTATAATAGGTGGCAATTTCTCTCAAACTCGAACCAGCAACAATTGATAATTGATACAAACACATCATGGCAATGAATGATTTGTGCTTCCACAATAATCTGAAAAAACCACCTCCCTCATGTATAACTGTTCTTGCCCTACGAAAAACACTTGGCCTAGCATACTTGTACATCATTCTCGGAGTGTACAAAATCAAAGCACCAAGATTTGATAAACACAACAAGGTAAAAGGAGTAATTGAAAACTTTTTACCTCCATAGTGTTGTAAATATCTCGAAATCACTTGATTAGTTGCCATGATCAAGTGAACTAAAAGTGCCAATAGCCAAAAAAATAAAAACCAAAACGAATATGTTCTGGTTGACCACCATGTTCCGGTCGGTGCTACTGCCTGCTTCTTCTCATCTAGAACATCATCGTGTGGCACAACAGTATGATGATCATCGTTAATTTGCTGATAATCTGTGGCAGCAGAGGTTCCTGTCATTTTCTTTTAATGTAATGTCTGACAATGTGCTGTTTTTGTTATGGCATTTGAAATGAAACAAAATATTGGAAATTCCAAGACGGGAATTTTAAAGCGGGAATTTCCAAGTCTTATTTTCTGAAATTCCAGGAGTTCACGATAGTGGACAAGAAAGAAATAGGTATTAAGTGATTCGACATAAAATGATTGCAATAATGTCGTCCTACTATGTCTATTGAACAGATGAGGATGGATTATTCACAAGGGCAAAGTCGTGCTTGCATAAATTTCGAAGCATTACAATCGAATCGACTTCTTCTTGTTGAGATGAAACAGAATCCTTGGAAGGTATGTGGAGCTCTCGAAAGAATATACTTTTCTCTCTCACATTTACATTTAGGATTATACTTGGCTAGCTCTCTACAATTATTGATGAATGGGAAATATTCAGCAGCACACCTTCTTCCATTTCTTGAGCAACAAGTGGTACAACTTTCACCTTGCTTACAATGAATAGCTTTGAAAGAGTGTAAGGCAGAGAGGGAAATGTTTGATGATGCTGGTGCGAAATGTTCCTCAATTATATCAAGTGCTGGTTCCGTCTTCATTTGTCTAACCTCATTTTCACATGGGCTAAACATGGAATGTGGACATTTATCCATCTCAAATGAAAACATGAGCTTGGAATGAATTTGAGCTTCAAAACATTGGGGAAAGTCCAAATCGTTTTGAGTTCCAGGTCTGGTATTTCCAACTGAGGAAACTACTCCAATATGTTTCATTAATTGTAAACGATAGGTAAAGAATTTTCTCTCCTTGTAATAATTCTCTCCCATTTGATCGTGTTGATTCCAAAATTCCTCCAATAACCAATCAATAGGAGTAGCTCTTCCTGAATGTCTCTTTAAAAACTCAGTTGTGGCCAATAAATCTCTTCCTTTCAATATGACTCCATTCAAACCAAATGAAACTCTCACTCCAGCCCATTTTCTCTTTTCCATTTCTGTCAAAATGTAGGAAAGGTGATAGGCAGAATTGGGACAAAACACAAAATCATCCTCCATCAACATGACATAATCATTCAAATATTTCATCTTGACAAGATTAATAATTGAGTAAAAATCATTCAAATGTTGTTTCTTTTTCTGTGGTAGTAAAACACTTGTGAATACAGACTCAGTTTCCATTTGATCGACAATTTCAATCCTACTCCTTCCATTCCTCAAACTTTCCAAACTTGGTCTATTATTCACACCCTTCACATTCAACAGTACAATACATGGCTTGAAAAACTCTCCCTCCAAATCCAAAATACTATCCAATGTCTGTTTCAAATAGAGAAATGGACTTTTCAAGCTGGCTCTAGGAGCAGTCATGATGAGAAATCGCATCGAGCATTCATTCGTATTGGTTGATGAATGTTGTTGATTATTAATTGGTAGTGATGATGATGGTTGTGAAGTGGCAGATTTATTGCCACGAAAGGAGAAAAAGATGAGCAAGATGATGATTATTGCACAGACAATTAAAATAATTTTTCCTCTCATGGTTCGATAGAAACCTCCGAACTGTGACATGAATTGTGTTAATTGTTTGTTTAACATTTTTTTTAATTGTTGAATAAAAATAAATTTAATATTTTAATATTGAGTGTAATTTCAAAATATCTTTGGATAGAACGAATTCTAGAATGTCGATAGTAGAAAACAAACGAATGCTAATTCATGGATGCAATACTTGATATCCAATTTAATACATGAAATCAATTTTGTAAACTTTCAAAAGAGGTAATCATGTTAATCAGTAAACATTCTACATTTGAATCAGACCAAAAAAACTTTTTAAAAAACAATGAATAGTCTTGGCACCACACCCTACATTTCCACAACAGAGAGGGAAAACAAGGATGTTAACTATCAAAATCTCGAAACCAGTCAACCACAATCTATCGATTCAAGTCTTTACAATAGAGGAGATCAGGATGTATTCTCATTGAGTCAGTTGAAACATGTTGCTCCTTCCTCAAACATTTCTGGAATGGCAGAACCAAGTCCCCTCACTAACAGTAGTCAATCAAGTGGTTTTTTCAATGGAGAAGAAACTAAACCACTGTTGTCTGACTATACCAAACCAGAGGCCGAACAAAAACCATTCCAATCTTCCACATTTGAATCTCCAACATCATTCAAGAGTGATCCTCCAGAAATCAAAGATGATAAAGGTGAAAGCACATCCAATTACTTGTCATCAAATCCTACCTTTGATAAGGTTGACATCACTCCACCCAAAATTTCTGAAGATACTGTTATTAGTTCTACCAATGACAAGAACAAGGACTATGGCACTAATATAGCCTCCTCATCTATTGCTTACAAACCAAGTACAACACCAAGCAAGGACACCTCACAAGTTGTTGCCACAGGAGAAGGAGCCACCAAAACTTTAAAGCAAGTAGGCCACATTATTCAAAGCCAAGCACAAACAATGGCTACTTCTATCAGAAACAATGTAAATAGTGATAATATTCTCAACATTCTTATTAATAGCTTCCTTGTAATTGTAATTGCTGTCTTGTTGTACTTTGGAATATGGTGAATAAATATATTGTAATGATTATTCAACATTCCAAATAATTGGTGGCAAGTATTAGTTCGATAACAATTTGTCTATGCTCTTCGTTTTCTGGATTTAATTCCTTGAGTGGATTGAACTTGCCCATGAATTCTCCCTTGATCGATTTTTGTACCCTGTCGATAATAATATTATGATTATTTAAATAATTGTTTTAGTGATATAATAATTATTATTATTTAGTGATGAACAATACCTACAAGAATTGACAAATAATTTCCAAAACATCTGTAGAAATATCACTCAATCTAATACTATTCGATGTCATGTAATCTCCCGATAAATATTGAAGTAAATATTTAGATTGGCTTGCAGCCTTCTTGGAAATTTTAAACTCGAAATTTTCAGCGCTGACCAGAGTGATGTACTCCTTGTCGGAGAAGTTATTGACTGAAGTTTCTTCTGCTTGCATTTTAATTGAAATTTAATTTTTTAATTAATATTAATGTAATTTTTTCAGCTGCTAAAGAATAATATGAAGCCAACATTCTCAACCAATGATGTCTTCTCCAATAAATCAGTACTTTCATGGAGGTTGATTTGAACTAATATTAATATTCTCAAAATTAATATCACCATTAAGCTGATCAAGTGACCACTGTGATGACGAAGAATAAATATTTATTATTGTCTTACAAAAAAATGTACTCGCAAGGCTTTGGAGGAGGTGAGTTGAGAGAAAGGCAAAATATTGCTTCATCTTCATCAGGTATTGCTCCTCATCTTCAAAATAGTGGATTTGATGATGTAAATTTATTTGATCATCGTACCAATGCCGGATCTAATTATTCAGCAACTTATCAACAAGATTATCAACAACAACAACAATATACTCAACAACAACAAATTCACACCTTTATGAATGAAAAGTTTCAAAACGGATCTTTCCTCTACAATAAGAGAATTGTTCCAATCTTGTTTTTAAGTATGATCCCTGTTTTTGCTTTGGCTGGTAAATACAGTCTTTTCATTCTTACAATGGGCTTGATCGCCATGTATACCTTGGATTTCCTTGAACAAAAGGCTTATGCTTTCTTGATTTTCTGGGTTTCAATGTGTTTATTCTGGGCTAGTATTTATACCACAAGCATCTCTTTGCTTTTTGTATCTGTTTTCAACATATTTATATTACTTAATGGAAGTTTATTTGTTCTAGTTCTTGGTTTTTGGGCATCACTTCAATCGGAATGGTTCAAGACATTCTCCCATGATTTAGTTTTCCTTGCTGAAAGACTTGTCTTTGCTGGATTACCAATTATTAGTATTCCTTTGGTTATTTCAATGGTGGTTGGTCTTGTTGGTATTGGTAATGCACCATTCTATTTGGTTGGCGTTTTGTGTGTCTATGTACACTTGTTTGGAAAGAGAGAAGTTTCATCTTTCTGCAAGACTAGATATATTCAAAATCCACTTGAATCAAGAATTTTGATTGCTTTACTTTTCCTTCTTCCTCCAATTTTCCACGGTGTAGTCTATCATAATGTTATCTTTGATGATTTCTTAACAAGCACTTACTCTATGAACGCCTATGTTGCTCTTTCTGTGCTTTTTATTTCATCTGATCCAGCTGCTTATTTATGGGCTTTCACTGATGCCTCTAATGAAATTTCTGTTACTCAAACAAAGAAGGGAATCAACTTGAAGACTGAAAGCCAAAACAGCTTTAGATATATTGTTCAACTCGTTTCAATTGTTTTGCTTAACATTTGGGTTGAATTTAAAGTTGTTTTACCTAGATATCACCACCTTATTCCACTTTCCAGCCCATGGGACACTATCTTTGTTTTCCTTGTTTTGAACGGTTTGGCTAACTTTATTCTTTTATTGATCTATAACCAAAATTTTGTTGGTGGAAATAATAATAGTAGTGTATCAAGAACAGCCCTTTCCCTTTTCATGATTGGATCTTCATTCTTTGGTGGTATTATTATTGGACTTCCATTTTATTTGATTCCTTTACCAGTTATTGGATTGTACTTTGCTGCTGGTTACTTGTTTACCAGAAAGTTGTACCAATATTTCATTTTCGTTGGATCAGTCTTTATTTGTGCTGTTTGGTTTGTTGTGCACCACTTCTGGTTCTTGAACTTTGAATTTATTTGTTCATTCTTGCCATTCGATTGGTCACTTAGAATGAGCCATGCTACTGTCTTGATGGTTTTATTTGGAGCAGCATCCTTGCTTACAGTTCCATTCATTCTTCCAGACAAGTCTGATTCCAAGAATATTGGTTCAGGTACTAACAAGGTTGATTACTCACTTTCTCGTAACATTGCCCTCGTTGTCCAAGTTTTATTGTTGGCTTTACTTGAACAATTACTCTATGAACAACCTGAAGGTTTCTACTCACCAACTCTTATCATGTTGACAACAGGTATTGGTATTGTTTTCTCAAAGAGACTTTATGAACTCAAACTTATTTCCATTGATGTGGTTTCATTCTTGGTTGCCCTTTACATTTCAAAGATGGCCATCATGCTTACTCAAGATGGTGTTCATGGTACTTTCATCTCTGCATTCTTTACTACTGTTGCTATGACCAGAATTTACTTTGCCTCATTGACTGGTGATAGTGAAAAGATGTTTAAGGAATCTGCTGTTTGCAAATTCTACATTTTGGCTTGTGGTATCACATTGTATCTCACTCGTCACGTCTTGCTTAGAACCCTTGTTACAAGCTTTATTGATAGTAGATTCTATGATATGAATGAGGCTCACTTGTTTGGCTTCTTCTGTTTGGCTTGGGGTGTTGCTATTTTGCCACTTTCTATTAACTTTATGAGACATAGCTCATTTGTTAAGCGTTTCACCGTTTTCCTCATCCTTATTGGTTTGGTTATTTCTATCCTCCAACCAAGTGTTGCTTTCTTCTCATTCAGTGACATTTCTAGTACATCTTTGACTGGAACTGCTGGTATTGCTGGTGACTTTGCTTCTCTTGGAAGTATCTCTGAGTCCATTTCCGATTATGTTCCATGGGTTGTTATCATTACTGTCATTATTTTGTTCAGTTTAGATATTATTTCACTTGGAGAAAAATCTAATCCAATGGTTAGAATTATTTTCTTTGCTTTGGTTGCTATTGGATTTTCTATTAGTTACTCTGGACTCTATCTCTATTATACTAGAATTTGGACACATGTCTTTGTTCTTATTACATTGGTAATTGCATCCTTGGTAATTTATTCTACACATTTCCCAATCAATCACTCATACAAGGCATCATTGACTCTCTTTGCCATGTTTATTATTTCACTCCCAATTACCTACTTGGCTATCACTATTGACGAAGAATCATTGAAGCAAAAGAACTCTTTCCTCAGTAAGGAAGGTCTTCATCCAAGCACATACACCTTTGTTATCAGTGAGCTCACAAAGAGCGCTAGAATTGCTGTTTTAGGTCTTCATTGTGCTTTGAGTGCTCTCATTGCTATTTTGATCAAATTCAAGCTTATTGGATATCCACTCATTAGAGTTAGAAAGTCCAACAAGGTATTGAATGTTGTCACTGAAGGTAATAACGAATTTGCTACTCAAACCATTGATCCATATCTTTCTGTTCCTGGTTCTGATGAATTATCAGTTGTTAACAATGGTGCTGCTGTAACCTGTTTTGTTTTGTGCATTACCCTCACAACTTGGTTGAACCCAGATAGATATGAAGCTTACTTGCTCTTCTGTTGTATCTTCTTATTATTGAATAGAGATAGTTTATACTTGTCTGAATTCAAGGATAGTTTCAGATTCATCTTTGTCTTGTTGGCTATGGAAGTGTGTATGGCCATGTTCTTCATGATTGATACCATTCTCTTCTTTAGTACTTCTGCCACCTCAAGCACTATTACATTTGATACAATGATTTCACAATACTCTCTCAAGTTCCTCCTTTTGATTCTTACTTTACCAAGTCACACCCTCTTTGTGAGATTCTTATTGAGATTGAACAAGCCAAACTTGAAGCCAATTTTGATTTCCCTTCCTTTCAGTATCTTGTCAGCTGTTTTGACAGTCATGTTTTCATTGTATTTGGATAGCTTCTATAGTTTAATTTATATTACTATCAGTGCTGTTGGTGCCTCAATACTGCAAGCCATGATTTCAGCTCAATATGTCAGAGAACAAATTATCCTTCTTTAATTGTATTTCAATATAAAAAATTATTATTAAATTATTTCAATCAAAATCTTCTTCTTATCAACTTGATATTTCCAAATTGATTAATTTGACTGAAAATCAAATATTAAAAAATGCTTGAAGAAACATTTAAAAATCTCGTACTTTGGAAGAATTACATTTCGCAACAAGTAGTATCAAGCCAACCAGCTACTTTTATGAATAACAAAATTTATAAACCTTACATTCAACCACTTTATACTGAACACATTGAAAAGAAAATATCACCCGAATTAATACACAATGCAAAAATTGCAGCTTGTACTTTATTACTTTACGGAATCGGAAGAAGAATTTACAAATCAGGAGTATGTTTTAATTAACAATATTTGGAGTAAATTGGAATTTTAAATAGTTTATGAGGATTAAATCTAATGCCAAGCTAACGGAAAGGGATTTTTCAATTCAAAGAAAACTAATTGGAAGAGTACCACATGTTGGTGATAGTGATAATTTCAGAATTATTCATTTTCCACCATTTTTGAGTCCAATATATTCTCTTTTACCAATGCAGAAAAAGATGAAGCTTAGTGAGGAAACTATCCATGTGAGAATTGCTGGTATTGATGCTCCTGAATGTGCTCATTTTGGAATGCCAGGTTAGTAGTATTGGTATATTTTGAGATAATTTAATCCTTCTTCAGGTCAACCTTATGGAGAACATGTGAAAAAGTGGCTCACTGAATTTTTAAAGAATGAAAAAGTCAATGTCTACTTGTTGAGAAATGATCAGTATGGAAGAGCTGTTTGTTCTGTCTATGTCAGAAAATGGTGGTACTATTTATGGTTGAAGAGATTGAATTTAAGTGAATACATGTTAAAGAAGGGATATGCAGTTTGTTACGAGGGTGAAGGTGAAGTTTATGTGGAAGGATCCAAAAATAAGAACAAATCTTACAAAAATTATTACAAATCATTGGAAGAGAAGGCCAGGAAAGCTAAAAAGGGAATGTGGGCCAAAGCAAGTACAAGTGAATCACCAAGAGATTACAAGAGGAGAATGAAATCTTAATTTTATAATACAATATGTTTCAAAGAGTGTTGAGAACCATTTTCCATAGTTTTCTGTATATTCTATTTGAATGAGTTATTTGAAAGCTTCATCAGGAATTAAAAAGTCTTTTGAACTCATCATTTCATACTTTTTGAGGAATCTTTGGAATCGTTCAGCCAAATGAGTCTTCTTTTCAAAGGCAGCAAATTGTTCTTGATGTACATAGTACGAGAATGCAAATATTCTGTAAATTCTTCTACATAAAATCCTAATTTCCTTCATTGACTTTTTGGAAATATCATTTCTTGATGGAAATAATTTTGTATCATTTAGCACTCCAGTAGATTGTGTATGAATATGGACCATATAGTCAATAGCAGGAACATTTTCCGGAGGAGTAAAAACTGGACACAAATACATTAATTCCTCACTCTCGTTAACATTGAGCATATTTGATGAAATTTTCATTTCTGGTTGTGTTTCTTTTGTACAAACATCCTTGTGAGCAAGAATAAACAAATTGATCTCCAACAAAAATTGTCTCATATGTTCATATATCCAAACGTTTTTATCAATGGAAGCTGATGATTGTTCTGATGATCCATTTTCATCTCCGTTTCCTTCATCATCAACCTTTCCGAATTTTGGAATGGAAATTAATCTTTTTACTTTTTTACAGCTTTTTCTAATTTGTTTTTGTATAATTTCTTGAACAATAAACGGATTATCAAAATCCTCTTGCATTGTTGTATCGTCAGCGGATGATGATGATGATTTAGATTCCCAGCCAAAGAGTTCCTTCTTTTTAGTGCCGGGACGATTACGTCTACCACTAACAGCAGTTGTGATTCCGTTATTGTTGTTGCTCATATTTTTTGTTGTGATTGATGAAATTCAAGTACGTCCTCATTATCATTAAGAATTAAAAAATCGCGCCAACCAATTTTTTCATCTCTCAAGCCTTAGCGTTTTACAGCTTGAGATAGAAACTGAAAAAGAATTTTACGAAAGAAATGGACCTGATTTATTTAGATACTCAGGCTAGTATTCTTCAAAATCAAAACTTTCTTCTGGATAATCTCCCACATTGATATGATCTGGTCTAATAAAGATGCCGTGCTTTTGAGGGCAAGTGAAATATTTCTTCTTATTGACAGAACCATCATTGGTGCCGAGTGGTTCATCCAATTGAACTCCCACCCAATAACCTTTATCAAATTGTACCTTTCCAACAAATTTAACTGTTCCTCTCATTTTCGATTCTTTCAATTCACATCTATTTTCCTTTTCAATTCCTTCTATTATTGAGGGCGAGCTATATTTTTCTTCTTCAGCAGAGAGTGGCTTTGTAGTTTTGGAAACAAATGGATCAATATTCTTTTTCTTCCACTTTCTGAATGTATCATCTCTTTTATCATAATCTTCCTCACTAATCACATATTTTTCAACTTCCTCATCCTCATATGAAATCTTATTATTAGGATCAGTATCAATGACGTGAATTCTCATTCTATCCCTCTGAATACCATATTCAAACAATGTCTTTCCGTCACTCAAACTGGATACTGTTGGTACTGTGTCTTCTTCCTTTGAAAATAATTGTAAATTCATAAATTGAGGTTCTGTTCCGACAATCGGATACAACTTTTTCTTCAACTCTTCCACTGTAATACCCTCATCAAATTGCTTTTCTGTTCTCAACTCCATTGTTGAGTGAGTGATAATTAACCAAACCATTTTTCTTTTGTTGTATTTCTTAAAGAATTGTGTTACCTAGATTGGGTGGTGTTATTTTTTTTAATCTTATTTTAAAATTAGATTTTTTAGAACAATGGCTGAATACAATATATTAAGAAAATTGGCGGGAACAAGATGTTCCTTACATACAAATTTGAAAGCCATTTCGGTAATTCTTCTACCGAGGTGCTTACAATAAAAAAGTTTTCAAAATTAGTAACTTGTGAAATTACTCCTTGCCACAGTAAACTTAGCAATCATTGTCAATTTAAAATATCAGTTGAAGCTTTTTTCAGTTTGTTTACAAAATCAAAAAAAATGTCTCAACAACTAATCTCGCTCCCAGCCAGTCAAACAAAATTCTCTTCCGATCTCTTTGGTGAATTGCTAACAACATTATCCGGTAACAATCTTGTATTTTCTCCCTTGTCTATTTTTATGGCTCTTTTAATGACACTCGGAGGAGCTGATGGAGAAACGTTGACTGTGATGAAGAAGGCTCTTCATATTGCAATCAATAATACTGATATAAAGAGATGGAGAGAAAATACAATGAAGGGATATGTGAAAGATACAATGTCTCTTGTCAAGAATAATCCTGATATGATTTCAATGGCTAATAGAATTTTCTTGGAACAATCGTCTATGATATTGGAAGATTATAAGAGCTGGGTCGAAAATACTTTTGAAGTTTCTGTTCAATTGAGTAATTTTGTTGGAAATTCGAATGAAGAAAGGTTGAAAATCAATGAGTGGGTTGAAAAACAAACTAACAATCTGGTCAAAAACTTGTTGTCTAGTTCTAGTATTGATTCATCAACTGTGATTGTGTTGGTGAATTGTATATATTTCCTTGGAAAATGGAAAACCACTTTCAATGTGTCTGAAACTCTTTCAAATCAAGTTTTTAGAACAGTTAATGGAGACACTAATTCAGCAACATTAATGAATATGCGAAATAAGCAAATATTATATGGAGAGAATTCACAAGTTAAATATGTTAATCTTCCTTATGAAAATCCTGGATATTCCATGTACTTTGTCATGTCCTCTGATGATGCTACCATTTCAGATAGCACGGAAAAAGAAACTGAGAAATGGCTGTCAGAACAATTGAAAAACAATTCCCTAAAACAAGTTCTTCCTACACTCGAGAAAAAACTCAATCATCTTACAATTCCAAAATTTGAAATTGAATATGACATCTCACTGAAAGATATCTTATCGAAACAACCATTTGATATGAGTGTTGCTTTTTCAGCACATTGTGATTTGAGTAACATGATTGGAAATTCTATTCAAATATCAGATGTAATTCACAAGTCAGTAATAAGAGTATCAGAGCAAGGAACAGAAGCTGCAGCAGCCACTGCTGTTATTGGTACAAGGAAAAGCAAACCAAGAATTTACAACTTTGTGGCAGATAGACCATTTATTTTTGTGATAGCTCACGAAGATACAATACTATTCATGGGAAAGGTCAATAAATTGTAATGCTTCTACATTTAATAGTCATAAAAGTAAGCTTTTGATTTACATTTCACAAAAATATTTACACAAATTTATTATTTTCAGATTTGATTCAATTTGATTCACACTGCTGCTTAATCAATTACAGTTCTTCTTTCAGCTGATCCAATTACAGTTTTTTGAACTGGCTTTGTAGTTGTGCTAACAGGAACATGAGTGGTTGATGTTGGAGTTGAGTGAAGAAGAGAGGATGAGCCACGGGAATATTCGCCTCCTTCTTGTGGCCAATCACCAATTTGTCCTTCAGTTGTTCCAGCAGTGTTAATTCCCATTCTACCAATAATTCCAGTCAACATTCCACCTTGCTCTCCTTGACCAGCCATTACATTACCTTGAATGATAGTTTGTTCAATCAAGTCATTCAATCTTTCGATCAATTCTCTAATGTTGGTATTCAAGGCAGTTTCAAGATTGTCATGAATCTTTCTTCTGACACGACTTTGAATGATTGGTGAAAGCATCTTGAGCATGAGTTTGTGCTTTTCAGCTTGCTTGAATTTGATATGGAGAGTGTCAACACCAACTACAATTCCCTTAACATAGAATGGACGATTCTGACTTAATCTGGCCTTAAGCTTGAGTTTGATGTTAATACCACCTCTATCGAAATCAATATCCATTAAACCACGATCAGAAATTGATGGGAATGAACGACGATCGAATAAGAAACCAACATCCTTCAAGTGAGCAGTCATACCAAACAAGTGAGCTCCAATGAGGGTTGCACTTTCAGCCAATCTGTCAGTTGGTTTCAATTCTTCATATTTCATGGAGGTTCTATTCTTGACCTTGAATTTAACATCATCTGGGAGAATATCATTGGCCTTCAATGTAATATTGGAAATCTTAAAGTATTGACTTCCATCATCACCTTCAACCTCAATGGCATTCCAATTATTGATGGCTTCTTGAATGGCAACAAAGAGGATGGTTCTGATTTGTTCCAATGCAGATGGCTTCAATTGGAATTTACCTTGTTCATCAAGGAAGAGACGTGAAATTAACTTTTGACTTCTGTCACGAATTTCAGTATTCAATTCATCATTACGCATACTGGTTAATAATTCACGACCATAGGTAAGCATGTCATTAGTCAAGTCCATGTTCTTCTTCTCTTCAAGAACAGTTCTACATTGCCACAATCTTTGTCTCAATTGTTCCTTTTCTTGATGAGATTCTAATAAAGTTGGTTGATTACCATATCTTCTGAAATCATTCATGATATCTCTGAGAACTCCCTTCATTCTTTCATCAGTTCTCAAGTGAATAAAGAAAGCATTAGTAGTATCAAGCCACTTATCAAACATTTCCTTATTAGAGAATTCATAAAGAATCAACTTGGCATAATTGAGTAAGCTCTTGAAATCATCATCTTCTCTCAATCTTTCAACTGTCTTGGTCTTTTCACCTCCTTGAGTGGCAGTATCACCAAACAAGCTCTTAACTTGATTAAACAAGTTGAACAATCCATAGAGAGCTCTTTGATAGTTTGGATCCTTGGAGAAACGTTTGTTCAATTGGACATAACGATCAATGAGGGAATCTTCAATTTCTCTTCTGTTCTTATCATGGCTGACTGGTTCTTCTTGAGTGGATTGAGAACCAGAAATATTGGAAAGTCCAGATTTGATTGTAGGTTGTTGTTGACCAACCATTGATTGTTGAGGAACTTGTGGAATATTGGATTGGTATGGTTGACTAATTCCACTTTGGAAACCTTGTTGGGAGACATCAGATGGTTGCCATTGTTGTTGACCAAATTGTTGTTGTTCAGAAACTGGTCTAAATTGTTGAGCTTGGACATTGGATTGGAGAGATGGTTCTCTATATTGATCATCAACAATATTCTTATCAGAGAAATGACCAACTTGTCCAATTGACTGTTGGAAAGGAGCAATTCCTTGATGGGAGGTACCATAAAGTGAAGTTGGTTTCAACTCTTGACTAATACCAGAACTCAAAGGTTGTTGTTGACTGCTACCAATTCCAGAGTATCCAGAACTCAAAGGTTGTTGTTGAGAGAATTCTGGTTGTTGATAAGAAGGTTGACCAACCATTGATTGTTGAGGAATTTGTGGAATATTGGATTGTTGACCCATTCTTTGTTGACTAAGGTTTGGATCAGTAACTCCAAATCCAGAATATTTTTCTTGAGATGGAACATTTCCAACACTTCCCATACCACTACCACTTGCGAAAGATGAGGAAGGTTGTTGCCATTGCTGACCTACCATTCCAGGTTGTTGACTAACCATTCCAGATTGACCAAATTGTTGACCATATTCTTGCTGTTGTTGCATTCTGGAGAATTCACCTGGTTCACTAAGCTGTCCTTGATTTCTCTTCAATTCTTCTTCAGAGTGAACTTTTGAAGGGAGCAATGATTCTTCTTGCTTGTGTTGGAGATTGAGTGTTGCACCACTGACAGAGGAAACTACTTCAGAGGTGGTTTCATGAACTGGTTCAGTCTTGCTACTCTCATCAGAAACACCCATTGATTTGATGCCACTTGCCAATTTGGAAATAATATTACCAGAGCCCTTCTCATCAATGTTGACTTCACCTGCAAGAATTTGCAAATATTGGAAGAATTCACCAATGGCCTCTCTGAAATCAGCACTTCTAATAAGTTGGAAGACAAAATCACGAAGACCAACAATGGATTGATAGACATCCCTGGTAGCTCCCTTCTGAGAAGTTTCGTATCCACCTTTTTTAAAAAACATCATCCAACCATCTTGTTTTCAATGAACAAAATCATGAAAATACTTACGTTTCACACCATATCTGATATCTTCTCCAAATTCTGGAGCATACTTTTGAGAGAGATTTCTGAAACAAACGAGAAATTGTTGCATCTTCTCATCAGAGTTTCTATCTTCAATGATCAATCTGATCAGATCCAAGAGAATTAAGGTGTCTCTCTGGATTGTCTTACCTTCCCTTGTGAGGAGTGATTGACTGGAGAGAATGGATTGCTTGGCTTGTTCAATACCTACAAGAACAGCTTCATTGGATGGTGGAACTCCTTCACGAATTCCAGTTAATCCTTGGAATGCTGTTTCAGTTTGAGGATTTTGGAAGTGTACTTTGGTTTGACCAGGTAGAACAGGTTGAGTTTCAGTTGGAACGACACCTGGTTGACCAACAACGGTCGGTTGAGTAACTGGTTTATGTTCGACCATTTTTGAATGATGGATTAGTTTTCACACAGTATGCTTTTAGTATTGCTTGGTATGTACAAAAGTTGTTGAAAATAGCACTACGCTGAAGACACTATGAGAATTTTTGTTTTAATCTTTAAAAAATGCAAGATCTTTGAAGATTTTAAACTAATCGAACGAATTGACTATTAAGGAATCTGGAAACAGAAAAGGATTTAGCACGTATTTGGATAATTGGCAAAGTAGACAGTGTATTAAACTGTATACTCCTCTAACATAATGTAAATGGTAATTGCTTTTACTAGGAAATGATTTAAAAGTACAATAAGTGATAGTATTACAGTGATTGAATCTTCACATATTAGAAATAATCTACATTGATTTGTTGTAATGCCTTTACGTTTTGACCAACATTGGTAACGTTACTATTCATGAAATGAGATTCATCCTTGATAGCATCCAAACGTTGCTTTTTCAGTGTCTTTCTAGGTGCTGCATAAAAGGTGTTGTAAAATTTATCCAAATTTCTGTTCACTTCCAAAATTGCTGCAACATTTCCACATCTATTACAATAATTAGGAGCTGACCAAATGGTTGACAATTTATCGTCCCATAAAACCTGATATCCATCCATACATAATTGATGTGAACGAACAATGTGACTAATCTTATTGGTAGCACAAAATTCATTGGCAAATTTCTTTGAATAGACAAATCCAATACCACGTAAATTTAATTTGAAATCTCCAACATTTCCATCTCTTTTATCTTCATCATCTTGACTTGGATCAGACCATAAAAGATCTGAAATTGGTCCCTCAGATGGAACATCTTTAAATCTTTCAAGAACTCTGATTTGATCAAGTGTTGCAATAGAAGGACTCAATCCTCCATGAACACAGAAAATTGAATCATCAATTAATGCACAAATTGTCAAATAATCAAACATGTCAGTGAAATATTTCCAAACATTGGCATTACCATATTTTAGAATACATTCTTGATAAAATCCGTAAACTTGTGTAATTGGTCTTGATTCGTGATTTCCTAAATTTTTGTTATATTTTTCATCATTAAATTCGAAAGTAAATATTCGAAACCAAGCAAATCACATCACGATCATCATGAAATATATTTAAAATAATATTATTAACCATCACATCACCATTTAACAAAACAACAACAAATACCACTACTACTAACCTCTCAACAATGTAATCCTCTCCGGATACCTCAATTTATAACAAGTCAATAGAGAAATAGTTTCCACCGATTGTGTTCCTCTATTCACATAATCACCCAGGAATAAATAATTGGTATCTGGAATTTTACCTCCCACTCTAAACATTTCCTTCAGATCCAAGAATTGTCCATGAATATTACCAACAACACTGACCGGAGATTTCACTCGTTGAACGTTGGCTTCATCGATGAGAATTTCCTTGACTTTTTCACAGATGAATTTTACTTCAAATTCTGATAAAAGACGACCTGCTTCGAGCTTTTCGATACATCTATTAACGTCCACAACTGATGACATTTTTTTTAATTAAATATTAAATAAATTTGATGACAGATGACTTATGTTACAAGTAAAAAAAGTTGAATTGTTAAATTATTGATCTAGATCAGGTTTGGTTCCTTCAAATTATTAAGAAAAGTTCCAACAGAACAGAAAAATTCACATATTAATTGGTCAAGAATCGAAAAGACGACCCCAACTCGGAATTTAAAAAAAAATACAATGCAAAGCCTTCTTCTTAGTAGTTTCACTTGTTTCGCCTCACCGCTCAAACGACAATGAGCACCCGAAGAAGCACACTTCGGGAAGGTTCCACAATCAAATAATATAAAAATATAATTTAAAGAAGCAAAGGAAAATATATTTTTGAATTTTGTGATAAATTGTTGATGAAGTGATAAATTGTGCTACTGATTGGAATTGTAAAATATCAAATCCACAAAAAACCTAGCTATCCATGTACTTTCAAAGATGAGTTAAAGATGAGTTAAAGCATGATGCGAAAATGAATCTGATATTCGTAGATGCTTTTGATAATCAGCGAGGAGAAAAACGCAGATTCAGAACAAACAACGTACTCAAAATGCTAAAATTTCTAATTTGACATACACATAGAGATGACATCTGTCACGTTGTAAGTAACTATCAACACAAAAAAATGAAAGTGGTACTACTTGCTATTTTGTTGTGTATTGTTATGTCTGCCAAGTTCATTGACACACAAAGTCTTCTTCTCTACAATATCACAACAATAGCAGGAGGTGGTTCTGTTGTGGGCGATGGTTTACTTGCTACTAATGCTCAATTAGCAATCCCTGCAGGCGTTGCAATTAGCTCTATTGGTGAAATAATAATTGCTGACTCCAATAATAATAGAATTCGTAAAATAAGTACAAATGGCTACATTTCAACGATAGCAGGAACAGGAAGTGCATCATTTGGTGGTGATGGTGGACTGGCCATTAATGCACAATTAAATAGTCCTTCTGCTGTTTCTATTAGCTCAAATGGTGATATGTATATTTCGGATACGGGCAATCAAAGAATTAGAAAAATCAGTACCAATGGATATATCTCAACAATTGCAGGAAGTGGAACTGGAGGATACAGTGGAGATGGCGGATTGGCCACAAGTGCTCAATTATATTATCCCAAGGGAGTAGCTATCAGTCCAAGCAATGAAATTTATATAGCTGATACCTATAACCATAGAATTCGTAAAGTAAACACAAATGGATATATCTCAACTGTAGCAGGAAGTGGAACTGGAGGCTACGGTGGAGATGGTGGATTGGCCACAAGTGCTCAGGTAAACTATCCATTTAGCGTGTCAATTAGTTCTACTGGTGAAATTTATATTGCTGATTATTACAATCAAAGAATTCGAAAAGTTACAACATATGGTTTTATCTCGACTGTGGCAGGAAGTGGAACTGCTGGATACAGTGGAGATGGTGGATTGGCCACAAGTGCTCAATTATATTATCCGCTTGGTGTGTCAATTAGTTCTGCTGGTGAAATTTATATTGCTGATTATTACAATCATAGAATTCGAAAAGTTACGACATCTGGGTACATTTCTACAATTGCAGGAACTACCTATGGTTTCAGTGGAGATGGTGGATTGGCCACAAGTGCTCAGTTGTACTATCCCAATGGCGTTTCAACAGGCTCCAATGGTGAAATATTTATAGCTGACACATACAATTATAGAATTCGTAAAATTAATACCTCTGGTTACATTTCTACAATTGCAGGAACATCAAGCTTTGGAAACAACATACCTGCTACCGGCGCCAACATAGCACCAACTGGCTCCCCTACTCTTAACAATGGTAAAATTGTATTTGCAGACACCTCTGGCCAAGTGAGGCAAGTTGACCTTACTACTAATATTATTTCTACCCTAGGTGGAACTGTTGGATCTACAACAATAGTACAGGCATTCTATAATCCAACATGCGCAAAGTATTACAAGACAGATTTATATATTCTCTACTCTAACTACTATTTAGACAAGGTCACCTCAGTTGCCAGTAAGGTTGCAGGTACTGGTACTTTAAATGGATACGGTGGAGATGGTAACCTTGCAACAAGTGCAAGATTGAATTATCCTTATGGTACTGCATTTAGCTCAAATGGAGATATGTATATTGCAGATACAAACAATAATCGAATTCGTAAAGTTACAACATCTGGATATATCTCAACTGTAGCAGGAAGTGGAACTGGGGGATACAGTGGAGATGGTGGATTGGCCACAAGTGCACAATTAAATTATCCAAGATCAGTTGCAATTAGCTCAAGTGGAGAGATTTATATTGCTGATTTCAATAACCACAGAATTCGTAAAATTAACATCTCTGGATATATCTCAACAATAGCAGGTACTGGAAGTGTAGGATACAGTGGAGATGGTGGATTGGCCACAAATGCACAATTATATTATCCCCAAACAGTTGCAGTCAGCTCAAGTGGTGAAATTTATATTGCTGATGCCTATAACCATAGAATTCGTAAAATTAACACCTCTGGATATATCTCAACAATAGCAGGTACTGGAAGTGTAGGATACAGTGGAGATGGCGGATTGGCCACAAGTGCTCAATTATATTATCCATTTAGTGTGGCAATTAGTTCAGTGGGTGAAATTTATATCGCTGATACCTATAACCATAGAATTCGTAAAATTAATACCTCTGGTTACATTTCCACAATTTCAGGAACTGGAAGTGGAGGATATAGTGGAGATGGCGGATTGGCCACAAGTGCACAATTAAATTATCCATTTAGTGTGGCAGTTAGTTCAGTTGGTGAAATTTATATAGTTGACACCAATAACTATAGAATTCGTAAAATTAATACCTCTGGTTACATTTCCACAATTGCAGGAACTGGAACTGGAGGATATAATGGAGATAGTATTTTGGCCACAAGTGCACAATTAAATTATCCTTATGGACTCACAATAAGTTCAACTAGTGAAATTATTGTTGCTGATTATTACAATCACAGAATTCGTAAAATTAACACCTCTGGTTACATTTCAACAATTGCTGGCGGTTTTGGTGATGGAGATATGGCCACCACAAGTTTCATTTCAGCTTATTCATTCGAGTTCACTTTAAATGGAGAAATTATTATAGCTGATTCAAATAATCACAGAATTCGTAAAATTACAACATTAGGATATATTTCCACAATTTCAGGAACTGGAACTGCTGGATATAATGGAGATGAAATTTTGGCAACAAACTCTCAATTGAATAATCCTAACGGAATTGCACTAAGTTCCAATAGTGAAATTTATATAGCTGATACCAATAACCATAGAATTCGTAAAGTCAATGCATCTGGTTACATTTCAACAATTGCAGGAACTGGAACTGGAGGATATAATGGAGATGGTGTTTTGGCCACAAGTGCACAATTAAATTATCCTAATGGAATTGCAATTCAAGAAAATGGTGAAATACTAATTGCTGACAATAATAATCATAGAATTCGTAAAATACGCACAAATGGCTATATTTCCACAATTGCTGGAAGTGGAATTGGTGGATTTACTGATAATACTGTAGCAACAAGTGCTCAATTAGAAAATCCCTTGGGGGTTGCAATCGGTTCAAACAAAGAGATTTTTCTTACTGATTCGACCAATAAGAGAATTAGAAAACTTATCCCTTGGTGCTCAGAAAATGGCATTCTAATTAATGGAACTTGTGAATATCAATGTTTTGGAGAAACTAATAAGAACTCAACTGTTTGCTCTGGAAGAGGAAACTGTATTGGGAATGATCAGTGTAATTGCACCACTCCTCAATACTTCGGTTCAAAATGCAACCAATTTTATTGTTATGGACTATTGAACGCAATGTCAAATGTTTGTTCGTCCCAAGGTAGCTGTAATTCTCCTAATAATTGTACATGCTTTAAAGGGCATTATGGAGAAACTTGTCAATATTTTTACTGTAACTCTATTCCATTCAATTCCAGTGCTGCTTGTTTAGGTAGAGGTTCTTGTATCTCATATAATAATTGCACATGTCAACAAGATTATGCAGGCAATGATTGTCAATATTTTTATTGTGGTAATCGTCTGAATAATGATGGTACAGTGTGCTCTGCACATGGAAACTGTATATCTCCTCATAATTGCTCTTGCGACAGTGGTTTTTATGGAAGCAATTGTGAACAATTCGATTGTTATGGCATTAATAATTTGAATGCATCAGTTTGTTCCAGAAATGGTTATTGCTCCTCTCCAAATAATTGCAAATGTGATCTTGGTTATTATGGAAATAGCTGTGAAATGTATAACTGTTATGATATTCCAAAAACTGACCCAAGTGTTTGTTCAGGTCAAGGCCTTTGTTCTTCATATAATAACTGCACTTGTCAACAAAATTATTCAGGAGTTAATTGCGAAAATTTCCATTGTTATGGAATATCAAAAATAGAGTCTACAGTGTGCTCATCACATGGAACATGCTTAGCGTTGAATAATTGTTCTTGCATTGATGAATATTTTGGAAATAATTGTGACCAATTTAAGTGTTATGGTGTTAACTTTATGAACAATTCAGTTTGTTCAGGAAGAGGCCAATGTATTTCGCCAAACTATTGTAAATGTGATCTTGGTTATTATGGAAATAATTGTGAAATGTATGATTGTTATGGGTTGTCAAAAAATAATACCAATGTATGCTCAGGTCACGGTACGTGTATTTCATTGAATAACTGTACTTGCAGAGATGGATATTATGATTCCAAATGTGGTTCATTTAACTGTGCTGGAGAAAAATTTATAGGCCAAAACCTTTGCCAAAATAATGGCTCTTGCACTGGTCCTGGTAACTGTGAATGCCCTATTCAGTATGGAGGTGCTAGATGTGAATATTTCAAATGTTATTCATTTACATCCAATGATCCTCAAGTATGTGGAGGTCATGGAACTTGTTATAATTATAACCATTGTACTTGCTCTCAAAATTGGTTTGGAAAAGATTGTTCAGTCACCACTTGTTTTAGTACACCTTCTAACTCTAGCTCTGTATGTGGTGGAAGAGGTAATTGTACTGATTATAACCAATGCAGTTGCAACATTGGATATAGAGGTAATGAATGTGAACATACTGTTTGTTATGATAAGATTGAAAGTGATAGTTCTGTATGCTCTGGAAAAGGTTTATGTCTATCACCAAATAATTGCACCTGTGAAACAGGTTTTGTTGGAAGTGAGTGTCAATACCATGAAGTATATTTAAATACGTCATCCGCCATTATTTTTTCTTTCCATAACAGTCTAATGAAGTTATTACCAAATGAGAGTGAACAATTTTCGTGTTCTGACATTTTTGAAGAATCAGAAATCGACAAATTTGGAGAAAGTTCCTCTTTCATCTGCCAATGGAGAAGAAAATCATTACAAATTCATCTTGGTTTTGATTATGCTATTGGTCATAACTCTATCATTCAAACTAAGTTTAACTTTTCATTGAGAGTTTATACTTTATCCAATGAAGCTTCATCTCCAACTTGTTCTTTTGGATATTCATTAACTGAAACTTCTCCCTTATTAGATATAGTGATACGTTTGAATTGTGATGACAATTTTCATGGCTTCAAGAAATTGAGAACTGATTGGTCGTGTGATCAATGCACAAACAGCGTTTCATCATTATTGAACAACTATTCAAATAGATCATCCATTTATATCCCTATTTCATATATGAATAGTTTGACTCCTATTCAAGGTTATAAGATTATTAACTTACAAACTTCTTTTTCATCAGAGATTTATTCTACAAAATCCATCAACAAGGAAGTTAAGGTTCAATCCTATGCAAAATCATTACCTCCAAGTTATTACTGGCTAAGTGATAATTATGCTGGAAAGACATATTCATGTATTGCTCATAATTGCATTTTAGAAACTTCTTTAAATAGTTTAAACTCTTCTATTTCTTATTCATTCTCTGGATTTTTCAGTTTATTGAATAATGACCTAAACTCTAAACAAATGGTGAGGATGATTAATGATTATTCTGGTGGAGTTTTAGATAGCGAATTTAATTCAAATATGCAAGTATTTGGTGTTCAGCTAAAAACATATGTTTACTTACCATTAAGCATTGACTCTTTTAAATATTCAACATTTACGAACTTGGATTTTGTTATGGCAGGTGTCAATAGAACATATTCGATCAACTCAGATAGTCTGGTGACAGTTACATTGGTAACTGATGATCCATACATCTCAAAATATACTCTAAGCGATTATTTGGAATACACTTGGAAATGCTACATGGTTTCTTCTTCAAATAGATCTCTTCTTTTGACAGATAATTTATGTTCTTCAATTGAAAACACTAGATCTTATCTTATGTTAGACATTACGAAAATGTCTTTAAAAGAAGGTTCATATGTAATATCTGCTTCGATTTCCTCTACAAAATACTTTGTCACAACCGTTTACAACTATGCAGGTTTTATTGAATTGTTGGATATTTCCAACGAATCCCCTAAAATAACCACAGACTACTTGCCTGCAATCACACCTTCTCATAATAATATTTATTTAAGAAGTGTGGTAAACTCTTCCTCAGAGGTTTCGTTTGCTTGGAACCTCAAACATGGTTATTTGAATGTTGATGAAAACATAGAAGATTTTCTCCAAAGAAACACAATTTACACAAACATCATTGACAATAACGTTGAAATCATTTTGAACGTTGATAACAAGTACATCATTCCAGGAGAATCGTATGAATTCGAATTATCAACTAAAAATTCAAAAGGTTATGCTAATGTCTCCATTTCAACAAGAGTTGACTTCTCCCCACGATTGTCATGCGATGTCGAGAATTTGAAGAATGATGCTAATATTACCAGTTTTGAATCATTGATATCCATTACTTGTGTAAAATTACCATACGAAAGTATTTCGAGTTTTGTGATGGAATTTTATTCACAAAATGAAAGATTGGGAGTAATATCTAATACTCCAAAGAAATCCTTAGTTACTAGAGTTCCTTATTATGCACAAGATGGAATAATTACTTTGGTTGTAAAACTTCAAAACTTGTATGGATCTATTGGAGTATTTAGAAAGAATATCAAGATTGGATTACCTAATTATTTGTCAAATGACAATACGATTATTTCCCGAGTTACTTACTCCCTAAACCAATTCCAAAATATTAAGAATTCTCAACCAGTCAAGATGGAAGTTTCAAATGAAATCAATACTTTACTTTCTCTATTAATTCAAAATGAAACTCTCTCGAAATTCTCTGAGAATGTTGTAAAGCAATTGAATTCAGCTCAATTAACTTCATTCAATACCATGCTAAGAGAAATGATCATATTAACGAAGAGTTTACAAGATATTACATACAGGGTTGATGAAAGAGTCATTCAATTGACTTTGCCCGTTGTCAGCAAGATTTGTAATATTTTAAAAATAACTCTGGACACTTCATCATTATCTTCATTCGCTCTTGATGTAGAAAAATGGTTGGATTGGATTTATTCTGGAATGGACAAAGCGCTTAATTATTATCAAACCAATATTTACAAAGACTTACTTGATAACTATCATTTGCAAGAAATAGAGTCATTACAAAACATTCTTTCAACTATTTATCAAAGTAATTTCGAGCAGCAATACAAGTTCTATAAGTATAATTTACAATACATCAAGCTGACTGGAAGCAATACTGATAATTCAAGCCTGGTGGAAAATATTGAATATTCTAATTTATTGAATGCCAAGGCTATCTCTCTCTCAATTTCCAACTTTAAGGTGGACATGAAATTACCTAATGATTTTACGAACCAAATTTCTTTGCAATCTAAATCTAAACTATTCTATTCTATCAGATCATTTAGTAACACTGGAGCTACAAATCTTTTACAAGAAAAACCAGTGGTTGATCTATCTCTGTATGACGCCTCTTACAATATTATTAACGTCAAAAATATCAATCCACCAATTGTCTTCAAATTCCAAGGATTAATTACCAATAATAAGACTGGCATCAATACTACTTGTATATATTATGACACAACTCTTTCAAAATGGTCTACTATTGGGTTGGAAACATACACCACAATAACTAAAAGAACAGACGATTTTATTTACTTCGATATGGAATGTCGTTCCAGTCACTTATCAGTCTTTTCAGTTCAAGAAGTTGATTATAACTCTCCTATCACACCTATTACCGCTATATCATCTAATAGATCTAGTAGAGATGAATCATCAACCATTTTAACAATTATATTATCAACAGTTTTACCGATTAGCCTTTTAATACTTGTTTTTATCATTATTTTGGTTGTTTTCATGATCCTTTTATTTAGAAATAAGCAAAAGAAAGCAAATGAACTAGCAAATACAACCAATATTGAACTATCAATATCAGACTTCCCATCTGAAGGAAGTATGTTTATTCAACCACTTACAAGCATTTCTTCCAATGGAACTGCTTCTGAATCCTTCAATCCTCTCTCTAGATATTCTAATCTGGTAAGAATTGGACAAGGATCTTTTGGATCTGTGTTTAAAGCATTTGATAACAAGTCCGATTCAGTCAAGGCAATTAAGGTTATTCGATATAATTCAATGGAAGAATTGAACAATTTTATGAAAGAAGGAACTCAATTAATGAATGTTAAACATCCTTACATTTTGAGAGTTAATGAATTCTTTGTGAGTAAGGATCAATTACTTTGTATAGATATGGACTTTTATGAACTAGGAGATTTGGTCCGATTGACCAATGTTGATTTTGACTGCTCTGAAAAATTAATTAAGCAAATAATTTTCCAAATGTGTCAAGCTCTTGATTACATTCATAGCAATATGAAAATAATTCACAGAGACATCAAACCATCAAATATATTTGTAAAAAGTTTGGAAAATGATAACATTCATATCATTGTTGCAGATTTTGGGTTAGCTAAAGCAAATACTACATCTACAAACAATTCTTATGCAGGTACTCCTATTTTTATGGTAAGTTTCTTTAATTCTTCATTAATTATTAACAAGTTTAGTCTCCTGAACTTGGCTTAGGTGGAAAATATTATTATAACACGGATATTTATAGTTTAGGTGTTACAATTTATCAAATAATGACAAAAGACACATTTACATCAATAAGTCAACTTTACTTGGGCAAAGATCAAAATGAAGTATCCAAAATATTAAACAAAAAGTTATAAGAGGATCAATACTCCCAAAGACTTACTGATTTAGTGTTATCAATGCTAACAAGAGATAATTCATCTAGACCTCAAGCTCAAGATATTTTGCAAGATTCTTATTTTGATGATTTAAGAATGAAACGATAACCAAAAACTGAATTACTTTTTATATTCAACCAGGTGTGGATGTGTAACATTTCAAATTAATACTACTGAAAACAAGTACTAATATTAATGAGTGGAAAAGCTCAGGATCATGAAATTTTTGACTTTAAACATCTTTTGGCTTGTGGTAAATGAAATTTATTTAATTTATATCATTTACTCAAACTCAACCTCTTCTTCATTCAAGCTGATGTGAGCTTGGCGGTTTTCCCACAATAAACTAACTTCAATGTCTGAAAATTTACCATTTCTAGACTCTGAGTGCACTTGGAATGTATGCAGACCTTTTGGAATTTTTCTTCTTGTGCCAGTAAATACATAAAGTCCACTACTCTTGATATCCAGTTCATCACAAACCAATTCTAAATATGAATTGTACTTGAGCATATCATTGTGAATCATTCTTAATGCTATGAGGGTTTCACATTTTCTATCAACAGTGAGATTGAATTGTTGAGTGAGAGTTTTACATCCTGAGTCATCCTCATTGACGAAATCTTTATCATCGTGTTTGAGAATTTGTTTAAAGATTGGGAACGATGAAGATTTGTGAATGGATCTCAAAATGGTTTGATCGAATCTAAATCCGAATGCATTATCTTCCTTAAATAAATGATCAATATTTACAATATGTCCAATAGCCATAGTACCAAAGTGATTGATAACATCACCTAGTTCCATCCAGAAAACACCATCATCTTGCTCCTCTTTTTCTTTTTGTTTTCTTGATTTCCTATCACTGGCTGTATCATTGACAGGCAAAAGTCCTGTATTTCTACATAATTGTTGAATCAGATTTGCTTGTTCAGTAACTCTTTCATTGAGGTCTCTTTTGGTTTGGGCTATCATTTCCTTGGATACGTCAGACCAAGCTCCTGTCCATTCAGTATTTCCCCCTATAAATTTGGATAAATAATTGAAAATCAAAAAACTATACTTACATGGATTTCTCAATCTAACTAATCTATTACCCTTGTACTCTAAGCAATCCAAAAGTGCATAATAGTGACCTCCAACAATGCCATCCTCGTTAGTAAACTCATCTCCTAAACCAGAGTTATCATCAGACCCAAAACCAATAGCATTCCCATTATTGAATCCGTTTACAATACAACACCAAATCTCATCAAAAGACAAACCTCCACCAACAATACCCTCTTCAACTACCTCTTCTTCTTGATCTTCTTCGTCTTGTTCGTCATCCTCGTAGCCTTCTTCTTCATATTCTTCTCCTTCCTCCTCATGCTCTTCAATGCAAGAAACATGATTTCTCAAATCTTCAAATTGTGGGAGGCAGCCAGTAAAAAGATAAATACCCAAAGTACCATCTCCACCCTCTACCTTGGCATAATTTCCAAATAATTTGGCGATTGCCTTTTCAACAATCGTAGGCCACAATTCATTTTTGTCTTTAGAATGAACAACCATAATATCACCATCTGTTGTGATTGGTACAAAATCGTCAACAGTAACATATTTCCATTCATTTCTCCAAAAGAATCTCAATGTATATTGTCCCATTGCAACATTGGCCTTGACAAATAGATGGGCTATTAAATGTGGAAATCTTGCAATGGCTGCCAATGAACTCAATAACCAACAATCTCCAAGACTTCCTTGTCTTATATCTCTGGCATCGATGCCATCAATAATAAGTTGTGGAATTTCACATAGCTCTGAAGCTCTCTTGAACCCTCCATAATTATTTTCCTTAATTTTCTTTTTACTGAATCCAAGAGAGGTTTCATTTGGTGGGAAATCAGGATCAACAAATGGTTCAAGTAAAGGTTGTTGTGTCTTTTGTTGAGCATAGAATTGTTCATAATTTTGGAGATATAAATATTGTGATTGATCAATGACTTGTGAAGCTTGTGGAAAACATCCATAAGATTGTTGTTGATTACAGACAGGAGGTTGAACATGGCTGGCGTATGGTTGTTGGACCTGTGGTTGAGATTGACTTGGTACTCCATAACTTTGTGTTGGTTGACTATTTTGATATGGTTGTTGAGGTTGTGGAGGATAGGATGGTTGACTATGTTGATATGGTTGTTGTGGCACATTTCCGTATGGTTGTCCATAAGAAGGAGAGTATTGATTAGCATTGTTTTGATATATTCCTTGTGTCATGACTGGTTGTTGCTGTTGTTGATTTGGATAATATGATCCAGCAACTTGATTAGAAGAAGGATAAGCATATGAATTCATGTGAGTTTGATGTTGTTGATTTCCTCCTCCATACGGATCGTACATGGATTGTTGAGGATTGATCACTGGTTGCTGTGGTTGTTGATGTTGAATATTAGCATTGCCATAATATTGTGGTTGTTGATTTTGATATTGGTTTGATTGATAATTGTTTGATTGTTGTTGCTGTTGTTGATTGTAATACTCGTTATTATTGGCAGGAGAATAGTTGTAAGGATTGTACATTTTTTTGATTATTATTTAGTTTTAAAAACTTTCTCATGTACACACAACCAATTATTTAACCCTTTTTTCATCATGACTTGTGATTTCTCATTCATGGATAACTTGTTTTTTTCTTTTTTTTTAAAAATTAAAATTATCAAATAAGGCGCCAAACACTTTCTTAATCAAAAATCAGCCTTTATTGTTGGCTTTGCAAGAAGACAGAATGGTTTTGATACAACACATACATTGAGGATTTTTCTTTGAGGTCAACTCTTCGCAATTTTTCATTCTCCCTTCACCTGTCAATGGTAGCAAATTGATTTTTTCAATCCAACCTATCAATCAAACCGGCACAACTTTGGGTAAGAAAAGTGAAAAAAACAACACAAAAAAATCGAGATTAAATTGTTGGATTTTCTTGCATTCGATATTGACCACTGTGAGTCACGTTTCCAGCTGTGCCAACAATTTTCCATCTCTCTTGAGGAAAGCAACAATCAAAAACTTTGTTTTCCAACACTTTGTACTTGTACTGCTATTACTACTTTCTAGTTCGTTGAGTATTTCCTCAAATAGTACTGTTGCCAATAGACATTGCTCTTTCAAATTCTATAAGAAGCAACATTGTAGGTTTTATCTTGTTTTTTATAAGAAGAAAATTAAGAATTCCCACAAACTAACAACAACAATACTGCAATCATATTATATTGCAAATTCCCTAATTCTTGTTGATATTTACTTCCCTCTCCAAACAAACAAAATTTCTCCCGAATAACACACCCATTCGACTAATTTGTCCAACTCTACAAACTCACAACATTGAACACAATTTGGTAATATTTGTGTGTGTGCTGTTTCTCATCCTCGTCGTCTCCTCACTCCACACGAAAAAAAACAATACTTTTCGGGTGATATTTCTCCTCTGATTTTAATTATTTAATTGCAATTATTTATATATATTCAACTTGTGTTATCCAATCTACCTAATCTAATACTAACACTGCCACTGCTATACTACTACTTTGTATCATCCTATTTATTTTCTTCATCTTCATTACTCAATTTATTTATTTAAAAACATCACAAATCTTCATTTGAAAATGTCTGCCAAAATACAAGAACGTCTGGCTTTCTTCCAGAGCAATATTAATAGTAATAACAACAATACAACGGCTCCATTTAAGAGTTCGGTAACATCTGTTGGAAGTATTAAGCAACAACAACAGCAAGCATCTTCATTGAGTGTACAGCCAAAGCCTAGAAGTCAAACATTATTTGTCAAGCCTACTAGCACTACTTTAAATACTTCCTCTACTACTAATACGAGTGCAACAAGCAATTCTCTTAGTAAGAATAATATTACTTCCAATCCTACTATTGTTGTAAAACCTCCAACCAAGACTGTAACAATCTCCTCGACTCCTTCTGTTGTCACTACTAACAATACTAGCACAAGGGTAAACACAGCATTATCATCCACCAATAATTCAAATAGTGATTCATCGACAAAACCAATGAGTGCAACACCTTCCGAGAAGAAACCATCTGGAATTGCAGCAAAGTTAGCTCTCTTCAGCAATGGTAATAACAGTAATAGTAGCAATACCACACAACCAACAGTTTCTCCAAGAGCATCACCAAGACTTTCCATTCATCTTTCCAGCTCACCATTCTTGAATGGAAGTTTGAATAATAATACGACAGCAACAACAAGTAATACTGCATCTTCCAATGCAGTACAGGCCTCTCCAAGAGCTTCACCAAGATTGTCAATTGCATTATCATCTTCACCATTTTTCAACATGGAAAAGGAAAATTCGACCAATCCTTCACCATCTACAACATCTTCGACCACAACAACTCCACCAACCACAAGTTCTACCACTCCAAACACAACAACAACAACTACATCGACAGCAAGTGGTAGCACCAGTACTAGTTCTTTGAAGGATAGAAAGAATTTATTCGAGCAACAACCACCGACAACTCAACCACCTGTATTTAAAACTAGAAGTGCAACTGTTATGCCATCTTCTAGACCTTCAACCACACCTTCCTTAGTCACTAGTGGAACAGGTAGTGGTGTTAAAACATCACCAGTTAGTCCTACCACAACTGCTCCGATCACTTCATCCAATGTGACTGCAGTTCCAAATACCACCTCTTCAACAACCTCAACAACTCCGTCCACCTCTTCAATAAGTACTCCTTCGACAACAGGAAATAGTATTAAGGATAGGTTCTCAATGTTTGAGAAGAAAACAGAGGAAAAGCCACCTGTTGTTGGTTCTGGAGCAAAGTGGACAAAACCAAAGACTCAAGAAACATCGACTCCAACAACTATTGGTGCAAATAAGAGTGTTTCTCCTCAAACTAAACCAGTTGAAGAAAAGGTGACAATTCCTCCTAAGGAAGAAAATAAGACTGAACCATCAGCTGAACCACCAAAAGTAGCAGTGCAAGAAACTACAGTTAAAACAAAGGCTCCTGAAACAATTAAGGAAAATCCAAAAGATGATATTAAGCCAAAATCTCCAACATCTGAATTGAAACCTGAGGTCACTAAACCAGTTACTTCTCCAAGAGCAACAGAAAAAGCTGTTGAACAAAAACCTGAGCCAAAGACTGTCTCATCAACAACCGCTACTGCTTCAACTGAAAAGAAGGTAGATGTCAAACCAACTGAACCAGTTTCAAAACCAACACCAGCTACTACATCAGCTTCAGGATCCACTTCTACAACAGGAGGTTCTCTTAAATCAAGGTTTGCCATGTTTGAAAAGAAGGAAGAACCACAACCGGTTGTTACTGCCACCAAACCAAAAGTTTCACTCTTCAAGAAGGAAACCGAAACTAGTGCTCCAACAACTGAACAAAAGGCTGAAGTTGCCAAACCTGTTGTTTCACCAACCACTGAAAAGAAGGTTGAAATTAAGGTTGTACCAAAGCCAACAGAAGCTAATGAAGAAAAGAAGGTTGAAGTGGAAGTTGAACCAAAGTCAACTGAAACAACATCTGCTCCACCAACCACTGCTTCAACTGAAAAGAAGGTTGAGTTGAAACCAACTGAACCTGTTTCAAAACCTTCCACAACTCCAAGCACTGCCACATCAGGATCCGCTTCTACAACAGGAGGTCTTAAATCCAAGTTTGCCATGTTTGAAAAGAAGGAACCAGCAACTCCTACTCCAAAGAAGGAAGAACCAACAACTGGCTCAAATTCTGTGAAAAACAAATTTGCCATGTTTGAAAAGAAGGATGAACCAACTCCAGAACAACCAAAACCTAAATCAGCAGCAGGATCTGTTGCTGACAGATTCAAACCTAAAGAATCTAGTCCAGAGGTTATTACAACTCCACCTCCTTCAGAAACTAAATCCTCAAGCGTCCAAGACAGGCTAGTCAAGTTTAAGCAACCTACTGCTTCAGAAACATCTCCAACCTCTGCTGAAGCATCAGGTACTCCTAAACCATTGACCATTCAAGAAAAATTGGCCAAACTGAAACAAAATTCTGCTGGAACTCCACCACCATTCGGTTTTATGGGTGGTCCACCTCCATCTTTTAAGAGTTCACCAAGCTCTGGTGGTGGTAATGACACTCCTTTAATTAATGTCTTTTCACCAACACCTTCCACACCAAAGGAAAATGTTCCAGATGCAGCCTCTCATGAGAGACAACACCATGGTACCTTATCTTCAGATACTGCCCTTAATAGAGTGAAAAAGGTACCTACCAACAGAAAGAAGACAGTCATTAAACACAATATTGACAAGGTAGAAAGTACCAGAAAGAGTATTGTTGCTCTCGATGTCGAGGAAGATGAATAATTAACAAATAACAATTATTAGGACAATTTTGAAAATGTTTATTCTTCTTCGTCTTCCCATTCGTCAACATCTTCTCCACCTTCTTCGTCATAATACTCATCATCTTCACCACCTTCCCATTCATCCTCATCTTCGTTTTCTTCTTCTTTTGGAGGTACTATTGAAACTGTTTTCGTTCCATTGACTTGATCAAGTATTTGGGCATCATGATTAATCAGATCCTTATTGAGCAGACCATCTTGATCATTCACATAAACCTTTGATTCGTCTCCAATGGTACCATAATTGTATTTTCCACCTCCACTCTTCTTATCATTTCTCAAAATACGTCCACTCTTAATGAATTTTCCACATGAACGATCACGTCCATTGACAGCAATAATGTGATGCCTCTTATTTTGCTTTCCTAATTCCTTTGGTACTGGTAATTTTTCGTCCATTTTCTCAGTCAACTAATTGGTTTGTCTCTTTGCTTTCTGGATATCTTTTTGAGTTTTATTTCGATACTAGCAACCAAGTTTACTGCCTCTAAAATAGAAATCGAATAGTTTTGGTTTTTTTATTTTAATGTGAGTTTACCAAACGTGTAAACTTTCCTTAATGGAAATCACCCAAAATAATGGTATCTTTTGAATTGGTTCATTACGATCTGTATACTGAGTTCATACGAAATTAACCATTATCAAATTTAAATACAAAACAATGTATTACATTGCACAAGCAAAATTTACGGTTACGAACTTTGGGCGCCAAAAATAAAAATTCAGAGACAAATAAAATACCTTTAGAAGCTAAACAATATGGGACAAATTTTGGATAAACCAGTCACTGATAAGACCACTCACGTGGGGAAGAATGGATATGCAATGTTCGGATGTAGTAGTATGCAAGGATTTCGTTTATCTATGGAAGATCGACACAACTATTTTACAGAATTGCCTCGAGTTGCTCCTCCGAAAGTACAACAAGCAATTGAGAGGGAAGATGTACATGTTTCATTCTTTGCAGTGTTTGATGGTCACTCAGGTTTGTATTAATATCATGATTGTGATGATGAGTTAACTTTGGAATCAAAATAATAATTAAGGTGATACATGTGCCGAGTTTTTGTCAAAGAATTTATTTAAACAAGTTTTACTTGAGGAAGTTGAGAATAATCAAAACATGACTGCTTGGAGTTTATTGAATAATGATCAAAATATTGAACAAGGATTTTTAAAAACCGACACAGAATTTGATAAATCATGTGCTGGAGTTGATGACAGTGGTTCAACAGCTACCACACTTACTGTAAAAAGAATTGGAAAAGATAAATTGGAAGTCATTTGTGCAAATGCTGGTGATTCCAGAACTGTATTACATTATAAGGGAAAGACAGAGCCAATGAGCTATGACCACAAACCCCAAGTCAACAGTGAAAAGGCCAGAATTTCAAAGGCAAAATCGTATGTGGAATTTGGTAGAGTAAACGGTACTTTGGCTGTTTCAAGAGGTTTTGGAGATTTGAGTTATAAGAAATACGACAAGTTGCCACAGGAAGAACAAGCTGTCATTCCACTTCCTGAAGTTAAGAGAGTTGTTGTTGATTTGAATGATAATAGTGAATATAACTTTGCTGTTTTGGCATGTGACGGTGTCTGGGATGTCATGTCAAATGCTGATGCAACAAACTTCGTCTTGCAACGATTGATTGAACAAAAGAATGGCACATACAAACGTTTAACCTACCCAGGTGACCCACCTCAACAACCATCTTCTGCTCATGGATCTGAACATTCTGGATTTGATGCACCAGAAAATCAATCACCAACACCTGGAAAATTTGATTTAGGATCAATTTGTGAGGATGTACTAGATCATTGTGTTAGGGGACTTGACAGCAAAGACAATGTTTCTGTAATTATAGTACTTTTCCAAAGAGATGATGACTACGTTCCTCCTCAAGCAATCAATCTACCACCAAACCATTTTGCAAATAAATAAAACTATTCCACAAGCATGCTTGAAGTCAACCAGTAAAGCATCAAGCTCATTGAGAATCTTTGAATCAAGGAGATCAATTTCCTTTCAATACCTCCTCTGAAAGGAGTAATAGTTATTCAAACTTTAATTACAAGAATGCAGTGCGCTCATTTTCATAATCAACTCTGAAAAAAATGCAAAAATCAACTCTTCACCATCAAATTGAAGTTGAAGAAGTAGAGAGGACTCATTCATCATCATCACTTCCGAAAATAGTGCATTCGGAACAACAACCATCTACTACCAACGTTATAGTATCGAGTGCTTTGGCTGGATGTGCAGCCCGATTGGCTCTACATCCGATCGATACCATAAAAGCAAGAATGTAAGTATCTTCATATGAATAATAGTTTAAAACAGGATCGGAAATTATAGGCAGGTACAAATTACCAATCCAGAGCTTACATCAAAATTATCAACTGCTATTTTTGAAGGAGGAGCAAATACGAATGGTGGAAATCAAATTTATAGAAATACGTTTCATGCAATTACAAGCATGACAAAATATGAAGGTGCTAGAAGTTTTTATAAAGGATTGGGTGCATCATTGATATTTACTGGACCTGCAATTACATTGTACTTGACTTCATATGAATATTGTAAGAAAAAATTGTATATACTTGGAAATTATTTAAAGGAAAAGAATGGTGATAATTTTCTTTCGAGGAATTTGATGGGAGAAACAGCACTTGTCCATTTAGCAAGTGGTTTAGCAGCTGAGAGTGTTAGTTGTGTATTTTGGGTTCCACATGATGTTCTCAAAGAAAGGTTACAAGGTTTGTTTATATAGAACTTTTGAATTTACGAAATAATTACATGAACAATAGTTCAACGAGGAAATGAAATCAATCTTACTCAACTCATGAAAATTGTTAGAAAGGATGGATTTTTACAACTTTACAAGGGATATTGGATTACATTGGCATCATTTGGTCCATTCAGTGCCATTTACTTTTTAACTTATGAAAGAATGAAGGAACTGTTTCAAAAACAAACCTCACAACAAACTCTTCCATTTTCAACAACCTTACTTTGTGGAGCTATTGGAGCTGGATTTGGATCGTTTTGTACCCTTCCATTGGATGTAATTGTAAGTATTGAGATAATATTTTTCAATGAATTATTGATTTTTTTCTAAATAATTAGAAAACACGATTCCAAGTTCAAAGAAGAATGAAGATGCAAAATATTGCCATGGAGGAGGATGTAATGTACTACAAGAATTTTGGTGATGCAGTACGAAAGATTATCAAATATGAAGGTCCAACTGCCTTTTGGAAAGGTTTCACATCAAGAATGGTTTATGCAGCTCCAAACTCTGCTTTGATTATGGCTCTGTGTAAGTAATTTAAATGTTTCGATTAAATTATTAATAATGGAATAGTTGAGCTGTTTAAACAAAAGTTTGAATTTATATAAAACATGATTTCTTTATTCAATTCTCAAATCTGTTTTGGTTTTTTACGTCAAGCAGGGTTGATAAATGTAATTAGATGAAATTTTAATGTTTAGGTCGTAAATTGCCTTTTATTATTTCTCGTCAAAAAGAAAAAAGATAAAACCATGTGGCCCATTTAACTTTAAAAGAGAAATGATTTATTTAGAAAGCATTAATCAACTTTTTAACTTCATTATCAGCAGCTGGACCTCTAGATTCATTACCAACATTTGCAATGAGTGAGACATTACAATCCAAAGTAACAATCAAATCAGTACCATCAACCTTGTTAGTATAACCAAGGAAACCAGATGATTCCTTACTGTCAGCATTGTGAACAACTCTGAAAATTCCAATCCCAAGAATGCTTCCTTACAATCAGGATCCTTAATGAAAACCTTGGCAATTTCAGCCAAATTACTCAATCTAGCACTTTCAGTCAAGAATTTAATGCTATTATTCAACAAGGTATCTTCTTCAGCACGAGTTTCGTACTTGTACTTGATAATAATTGTTGGCAATGCACCGAAAGCTTGCCAATCCAATAAGATGATCATCTTTGGGTTAACTTGTTGAAGATTCTTGGTAGCACCAACAATACGCTTGTTGAAGAATTCGAACAGTCTTTTTGAGAGCGAGGCCACTTCCACACATGTTTTGAGTGAATAATTCTTCGTGAGTGAGTTGAGTCATTTAGTTTAGTTTGTGAGGAAAATGTGATTTCAATATAACCTCTGAAACAAACGTGAAATTCGTCTTGTATTACTGTACTTAACAGCTCAAATTATTGATATAAATCCATCCAAACAAACAAACAATTATAACATATTCTATTGGGGTTCAACCCATGCTCGGGTCGTAAACAAAAAATTGGAATACAATTAAAGTAGTGTTACATTTCATTGATATAATACAAAGTTAATCCATTTCTGTAGTATTGATTTGAACATCTGATAAAGTTCCATTATGTAAGGATCTAAGCAATTTAGTCTTAATAAGTTTTACATTTTTGAAAAGAAGAGGATATCTAAATACTTGCAATCTTTGTGGCTTTTGATTGTTTTTTCATCGAATGACTTGGCAGCAACATGTTGCATGATTTTATACTATTCAAGAAATTATTCTTTTCATGATTATAACATGGTTACAATGTGGAGTTTGGTAAAGTTCAATTGAAAAGCTCAACGTATTTTTTAATGAACATGTTCAATATTTTAAGCTAGGCTAGCAGCTTATTTTCTTAGTGATGTCAAATGTTTCATTTCACTAATGTATTTGGCTCCTTCACCACCAATTCGATTGTAAGACATATCAAGTGATGTCAATTGTTTCATTTCACTTATTGATTTGGCTCCTTCATCATTAATTTGATTGAAAGAAATATTAAGTGATGTCAATTGTTTCATTTCACTTATGTGACTAATTTCATTGTAAGAAATATCAAGTGATGTTAAGTGTTTCATTTCACTGATGTATTTGGCTCCTTCATCACTAATTAGATTGTTAAAAATATCAAGTGATGTTAATTGTTTCATTTCACTTATATATTTGGCTCTTTCATCACTAATTTGATTGTTAGAAATATTAAGTGATGTTAATTGTTTCATTTCACTCATGAACTTGGCTTCTTTACCACTAATTTGATTGTTAGAAACATTTAGTGATATCAATTGTTTCATTTCGCTTAAAAATTTAGCTCCTTCATCACTAATTTGATTGTTAGAAATATCAAGTGATGTTAATTGTTTCATTTCACCAATGTATTTGGCTCCTTTACCACTAATTTGATTGTCAGAAATATTAAGTGATGTTAATTGTTTCATTTCACTTATATATTTGGCTCCTTTACCGCTAATTTGATTGTTGGAGACATTAAGTGATGTTAATTGTTTCATTTCACTTATTGGTTTGGCTCCTTCACTAATGTCATTGTAAGAAATATTAAGTGATGTTAATTGTTTCATTTCACTGATGTATTTGGCTCCTTCATCACTAATTTCATTGTAAGAAATATTAAGTGATGTTAATTGTTTCATTTCGCTTATGAACTTGGCTCCTTCTGCACCAATTTGATTGTAAGAAATATCAAGTGATATCAATTGTTTCATTTCACTTATATATTTGGCTCCTTCATCACTAATCCGATTGTTAAAAATATTAAGTGATGTTAATTGTTTCATTTCACTTATATATTTGGCTCCTTTACCACCAATTCGATTGTTAGAAATATTAAGTGATGTCAATTGTTTCATTTCACTTATATATTTGGCTCCTTTACCGCTAATTTGATTGTTGGAGACATTAAGTGATGTTAATTGTTTCATTTCACTTATTGGTTTGGCTCCTTCACTAATGTCATTG